CATTGGGCATATTTACCACTAACAGACAAAGATCAATTAATTGCCAAAATTAGGTTAATCCCATCATACCATCCCCTCCATAAACTTATCAAGTTTAGTCTTGAAGCCAGATATGTCTTTTGCCCCCACTGCTCCCCTGGGAAGGCTATTCCAGAACTTCACTCCTCTGATGGTTAGAAACCTTTGTCTAATTTCAAGTCTAAACTTCCTGATGGCCAGTTTATATCCATTTGTTCTTGCGTCCACATTAGTACTGAGCTTAAATAATTCCTCTCCCTCCCTGGTATTTATTCCTCTCATACATTTACAGAGAGGAATCATATCTCCCCTTCTTTTGGTTAGGCTAAACAAGCCGAGCTCTTTGAGTCTCCTTTCATAAGACAGGTTTTCCATTCCTCGGATCATCCTAGTAGCCCTTCTCTGTACCTGTTCCAGTTTGAATTCATCCTTCTTAAACATGGGAGACCAGAACTGCACACAGTATTCCAGATGAGGTCTCACCAGTGCCTTGTATAACGGTACTAACACCTCCTTATCTTTACTGGAAATACCTCACCTGATGCATCCCAAGACTGCATTAGCTTTTTTCACGGTCATATCACATTGGCGGCTCATAGTCATCCTGTGATCAACCAATACACCAAGGTCCTTCTCCTCCTCTGTTACTTCCAACTGATGCGTCCCCAGCTTATAACAAAAATTTTTGTTATTAATCCCTAAATGCATGACCTTGCACTTTTCACTATTAAATTTCATCCCATTACTATTACTTCAGTTTACAAGGTCATCCAGATCATCCCGTATGATATCCAGGTCCTTCTCTGTATTGGCAATACCTCCCAGCTTTCTGTCATCCGCAAACTTTATTAGCACATTCCCACTTTTTGTGCCAAGGTCAGTAATAAAAAGATTAAATAAGATTGGTCCCAAAACCGATCCCTGAGGAACACCACTAGTAACCTCCCTCCAGCCTGACAGTTCACCTTTCAGTACGACCCGTTGTAGTCTCCCCTTTAACCAGTTCCTTATCCACCTTTCAATTTTCATATTGATCCCTATCTTTTCCAATTTAGCTAATAATTCCCCATGTGGAACTGTATCAAATGCCGTACTGAAATTGAGGTAAATTAGATCCACTGCATTTCCTTTGTCTAAAAAATCTGTTACCTTCTCAAAGAAGGAGATCAGGTTGGTTTGACACGATCTACCTTTTGTAAAACCATGTTGTATTTTGTCCCAATTACCATTGACTTCAATGTCCTTAACTACTTTCTCCTTCAATTTTTTTTCCAAGACCTTGCATACTACAGATGTCAAACTGACAGGCCTGTAGTTACCCGGATCACCTTTTTTCCCTTTCTTAAAAATAGGAATTATGTTAGCAATTCTCCAGTCATATGGTACAACCCCTGAGTTTACAGATTCATTAAAAATGCTTGCTAATGGGCTTGCAATTTCATGGGCCAGTTCCTTTAATAATCTTGGATGAAGATTATCTGGGCCCCCTGATTTAGTCCCATTAAGCTGTTCGAGTTTGGCTTCTACCTCGGATGTGGTAATATCTACCTCCATATCCTCATTCCCATTTGTCATCCTACCATTATCCCTAAGTTCCTCATTAGCCTCATTAAAGACTGAGGCAAAGTATTTGTTTAGATATTGGGCCATGCCTAGATTATCCTTAGCCTCCACTCCATCCTCAGTGCTTAGTGGTCCGACTTCTTCTTTCTTTGCTTTCTTCTTATTTATATGGCTATAGAACCTTTTACTATTGGTTTTAATTCCCTATGCAAGGTCCAACTCTACATGGCTTTTGGCCTTTCTCACTTTATCCCTACATGACCTCAATAAGGTAGTTTTCCTTGCTAATCCCTCCCATCTTCCACTCCTTGTAGGCTTTCTGCTTTTTCTTAATCACCTCTCTGAGATGCTTGCTCATCCAGCTTGGTCTACAATTCCTGCCTATGAATTTTTTCCCCTTTCTTGGGATGCAGGCTTCTGATAGTTTCTGCAACTTTGACTTGAAGTAATTCCAGGCCTCCTCCGCCTTTAGATCCACAAGTTCTTCAGTCCAATCCACTTGTCTACCTAATTTCCTTAATTTTTTAAAGTTAGCCCTTTTGAAATCAAAAACCCTAGTTACAGATCTATTTTTGTTTATCCTTCCATTTAATTTAAACTGAATTAGCTCATGATCGCTCGAACCAAGGTTGTCCCCTACAACCATTTCTTCTATGAGGTCCTCACTACTCATCAAAACCAAATCTAAAATGGTATCCCCTCTTGTTGGTTCAGCAACTACTTGATGAAGGAATCCATCAGGTATCGCATCCAGGAAAATCATTACTAGCACTTGTCCTCCAGTCTATATCTGGGAAGTTAAAGTCTCCCATGATCACACAAATCCCATTAGTATTTACTTCATTAAAAACATTAAAGAGGTCTCTATCCATATCCAAATCAGATCCCGGTGGTCTATAGCTCACCCCAAGCACTATCTCAGGAGAGGCTCTAGTAGCTTTCTTCCCCAATGTGATTTTTGCCCAGACATATTCTGTCTTATCCATTCCATCCCTTATTTCTTTACCGTCTACCTCATCATTGATATACAATGCTACTCCACCACCTTTGCCTTTATTTCTGTCTTTCCTAAACAGCACATATCCTTCAATACCTGTACTCCAGTCATGACTACTATTCCACCATGTTTCTGTTATCCCTATAATATCTGGTTTCACTTCCTGCACCAGTAACTCTAGTTCCTCCATTTTGTTACCTAGGCTCCTTGCATTGGTGTACAAACATCTTAATTTTTGCTGTTTGGCTTTGCTCACATTCTTTACCCGATTAGGCCCAGACATTCTACCGCCAGTATCACCTATTAGACTGATATCTACACTACCCTTCCTCCGTATGTCAATTCTCCTACCCATGACAGTATCCTTTCTTGCTTCGTTTTCTTTCCTCTCAATGTTAAAATCCAGCGTGGAGATTACCTGGACATCTTCCAACCATCTCTCCCAAATTCCTAGTTTAAAGCTCTCTTAATCAGTTGTGCCAGACTCCATCCTAGAAGTCTATTTCCCTCCCTGCTCAGGTGAAGTCCATCCCGAGAGAACAGTCCTCTGTCCATGAATGCCTTCCAGTGGCCATACATTCCAAAGCCCTCCTTATAGCACCACTGCCTGAGCCATCTGTTGATTGTCATAATCTTGTCACACCTTTGTTGCCCTTCTCTAGGAACAGGCAGAATCCCACTTAAGATCCTTAAGCGTTTCCCCAGCCTGGCATAGTCTCCCTTGATAGGTTCCAGCGAGAATCTAGCCGTATCATTTGTTCCCACAAGAAGGACAATCAGTGGATTCTTTCCTGCTCCTGTTAGGATCCTCCAATTAGAGGTGAAGGGGCATAAATACACCTACAGTGGAGCACCCAGAGGGACACTACTCAAAGAAGCTGCACTTGACAGTAGCTCTATTGTTTTAAGAAATATAAACATATGTTTTGTATCTTTTGGTTAGTGACCTTTGTTCAAAACAAGGGATAAACAATTTAAAACAAATCAACACATCTTTAGTGACAGCCTTATAAGAGAATGTTAATATTTCACATAGAGATGAAAAATGATAAAGCAGTGTTCCATTTGGTAAGCATTTTAGTGAACCTCTAATTCAGAACACCTTATGAGGCATCAATATTTCAGATACAAAATTAAACTTAAGAAAAGCTCAATGGCACATGTATACATGCACACAAAGCGAATTACCTTCATGTTCTTTAGAACATGGCTTAAGGCAAAAAGGAATACATCAATGTTTTGGGCAGTCAGCCTTTACTGGACAGACTTTAAACAGTTGTAGCTGAAATACTGATTCCTTTTATCTTATTGCCTTTTACCTCTAGGCAATATTAGGGAACTAATTGGTTTAAGTCACTCAGTGTTCATCTTTAAAGTTAAAAGATACTTTGCAGTTTCCAGAGTAAAACTAAGTCTGCTTATCTGGAACACATTTGCATAGAACACCCAATTTAAGGACTGTCACATGCAGTACAAAGTGGGGCATTAACTGAAAGAAAATAATGCACTTTCCCCAACTAGAGACCTGGCAAGTAGCATTCATGATAAAGTGCTTCAATATTACACCATCCTTAACTGAAACCAATACATCTAACCTGCTTTGTCTTTCATGTGCATGATTTAAAAAAACCCACCACCATCACAACAGTAACAGGTCCTGTCATAACTATAAAGGGAAGGGTGGCAGCTCTCCTGTGTACTGTGCTATGGAATCCCTCCTGGCCACAGACTCCAAATCCTTTTACCTGTAAAGGGTTAAGAAGCTCGGGTAACCTGGCTGACACCTGACCCAAAGGACCAATAAGGGGACAAGATACTTTCAAATCTTGGGGGGGGAAAGGCTTTTGTGTGTGCTCTTTGTTTTAAGGGGTGGTTCGCTCTTGGGACTGAGAGGGACCAGACATCAATCCAGGTTCTCCCCATCTTTCTAAACAAGTCTCTCCTATTTCAAACTTGTAAGTAAAAAGCCAGGCAAGGCGTCTTAGATTTACTTTGTTTTCTCAACTTGTAATGTACCTTTTACTAGAGTGTTTATCTTTGTTTGCTGTACTTTGAATCTAAGACAGAGGGGGGTCCTCTGAGCTCTTTAAGTTTGATTACCCTGTAAAGCTATTTTCCATACTGATTTTACAGAGATGATTTTTACCTTTTTCTTTAATTAAAAGCCTTCTTTTTTAAGAACCAGATTGATTTCTCCTTGTTTTAAGATCCAAGGGGGTTTGGATCTGTGTTCACCAGGGAATTGGTGAAAGGTTTCTCAAGGCTTCCCAGGGAGGGAATTCTTAAGATGGTGGCAGCGGACCAGAGCTAAGCTGGTAGTTAAGCTTAGGAGTCCTCATGCAGGCCCCTACATTTGTACCCTAAAGTTCAAAGCGGGGATACAGCCTTGACAGGTCCATTAAGAAAATTAGAACTTTCTAACCTCTTTTAGTAGTTTTCTGTCTAGTTCTTCTTGTTTCAGTTTCTAAATGGAAAAAAAAAAAGCAATTACCAGGGAAACTACAATCTAGCAGAAATCTGTGACGTATCAGTAATTGAGACTGCAGAAATAAAGAGGACATTCCCACATTTTAACGTAACTGCCATGGTGACTGTATTTACTATGTATATTTATGTATTTATGAGATTGGTCTTTTTCAGATGACTCACCACTTCCCAAGATAGTAACCCTCTCATGAACACCTTTTCCAGGTTTGATCCCACACCTTTTCTGTTCCAGCAAAGCATATATATGATTTCACACTGCCCTGGTAGAGCTCACTAGGCCAGGGGTTCTCAATCTTTTTCTTTCTGAGACGCCTCCCCTCCCCCATATGCTATAAAAACTCCACGACCCACCTGTGCCACAATAACTGATTTTCTGCATATAAAAGCTGGGGTCGGCATTAGGGGGTAGCAAGCAGGGCAATTGCCTGGGGCCCCATGCCACAGGGGCTCCTGTGAAGCTGCATTGCTCATGCTTTGGCCCCTGAGGCAGGGCTCTGGGCCCTGGGCTTCAGACCCATGAGGTGGGACTTCGGCTTTCTGCCCTGGGCCACAGCAAATCTCACACTGGCCCTACTTGGCAGATCCCCTGAAACCTGCTTGTGATCGCCCAGGGGACCCCGGACCCCTGGTTGAGAAGCACTGCACTAGGCTGCTGTGTTTGGGTCTCACTTCACTGGATCCTGTGAGCTTTAAGCTTCCTGAATCTGAACAGAGGCCAGGCACGGCTTCTGGCTGAGGGTTTCTGGGCACACCCTCAGGATACAGATCCTCTGTCCAACAGCCGTTTCAGAGAGCTGAGACCCTGCAATCCAACTGGCAGGACTCCAAGACTAGTGCCAGCACCCCATAACTCTACCGATGCTTGAGTACACTCCTTCCCAGCGCTCCAACCCTGTGGGCATGTTGGTTTATTGTTTATCCTTCAGGGACACAATAGCTGAACATTTAAAAAAGTTACAAATATAGCAATATGCTTGTATGTTTACATTACTTTTTTAGATTATTGTGTTACTGAAATAAGAGACAGGTGGTTGAGGTAATATCTTTTATTGGACCACCTTCTGTTGGTGAAAGACAAGCTTTTGAGTTACACAGAGCTAATTTTTCAGGTCTGGGTCATTGAAATAACTGCAATTTCTCCTGCAGCAATAACGTTGCCGTGATCCCTAACTCTTGGGAAACTCTGAACAGAGTGGCATTATATTTGCATAGTTGTATTAAATTAAAAATCGTGCATTGTTTGTATGGTTGATGGATGGATTTATATTTTTTTTGAAAAAGCCTAGTACACTTAAAAAAAAATCAAAAAATAAATGTGATAACATTCTTAGAGAAAAATGTCGAACTGCAATATTTTCCAATGCTAAGTGTTCAATAAATCTAATTACTTCAACCTGAAATGCTAGAAAAATAGCTTTTCAATGAATGCTTAGATTCCATCCTGATTAAACTCTGTCCAAGTCCCCCAAAGAAAATATGGAACTACTTGGTATCTTAGATGCAGAGAACCACTAGTCTAGAAAAGAGACAAACTTTTTTTTAAACAAACATCACAAGCACTATAGTCTACATTTTTAACCCCTTCTCTCATTGTGCTACTTTCCTCAGATCCCCTGCCAGAAACAAAAAAAGCTAAAACCTTTTATTGAGATTGCCCTATCTTAAAAATCAGAGTCTCTCAAATTATGGAATTTTTGTTCCATTAAGTGTTTGGAGTAAAAGCCACCAACTGATTCAAATATCTACTACTACTTGGTGTTTGTCTGTATGGTATAAAAGCCATGCATGTACATGTCATATTGTTAGCATTTGAACCACCTGGTGAGGTTACTCAGATCAAAAGACATCTAAAATAGTTAGCAGTGAAACAAATCTTAAGTGGAGTAGAAAAGCAATAATCTTTACTGTGGACAACTGCAGGGAAAGAATTAAAGCATTAGGAATGGCAACATTGCAGAGTTGTATAGTAAGTGACAAATACAAATGAGTAAAGCGTAACAGAATTTCATATGCCCTTTTAAGTGTGTATCACTGTTTTTATTTTTAAAAGTTTTGAACAAGAGTCTTTACCTGGAGGTGCAGTGTGCTTGTATTCAAGCTTGTGCTGTGGATTCTTTCTGCAAAGAATGAAAACCAATACAATAAAATCATTTCCGGCCCTTGCATCCCACCTTGCTTCATTCAAGAATTATTCACTGCACAATGGAAGTAATCATCAAACTTTAGGGGATGTGAATGAAATTTAAATTAATCACTATGTAGTTTCAAATCACTTATCTGCAGCTCTCTCAATATAACAGTAAAAAGAAACAGCCCCCCCAAAACCTTTTATGTTACAGTAATCAATATAACTGACTTTAGCTCTCTAGAATCAGCATTCTCATATGTATTTATCTATGGCACTTATAGACCCCCATTACTGTGCCTCAAACTTTAAAACTTTAATACAGGGGTCGGCAACGTTTGGCACGCGGCTTGACAGGGTAAGCACCCTGGCGGGCCGGGCCAGTTTATTTACCTGCTGACACAGCAGGTTCGGCCGATCGCGGCCCCCACTGGCCGCGGTTCACCATACCGGGCCAATGGGGGCGGCAGGAAGCCGTGGCCAGCACATCCCTCATCCGTGCCGCTTCTTGCCGCCCCCATTGGCCCGGGACGGCGAACCGTGGCCAGTGGGGGCCGCGATCGGCCGAACCTGCCACGTCAGCAGGTAAATAAACTGGCCCAGCCCGCCAGGATGCTTACCCTGGCGAGCCGCGTGCCAAACGTTGCCGACCCCTGCTTTAATATATTCATCTTAGTATTTCCTATTTCATATGGTCTTTCAAAAAAGAACTAGATAAATTCATGGAGGATAGGTCCATCAATGGCTATTAGCCAGGATGGACAGGGATGGTGCCCTAGCCTCTGTCTTCCAGAAGCTGGGAATGGGTTACGGGATGGATCACTTGATGATTACCTGTTCTGTTCATTTCTTCTGGGGCACCTGGCATTGGCCACTGTCAGAAGACAGGACACTGGGCTAGATGGACCTTTGGTCTGATCCAGTATGGCTATTTTTATGTTCTCATCACCTGCACTTTACAGATGGAGATCTGAGGCACACAGAGAATAAGTGACTTGCCCAAAGTCACACAGGAAGTCTGTGACAGAGCAGGAAACTGAACCCAGGCCTCCCAAGCTAGTGTCCTAATCACGGCACCATCCTTCCCCTACACGCCTCATTTGTTCAGCACAGTTTGTTCACCATTTTCAGAAGCAGAATAGGTCCATGTTTGTGACACTCGGTACCTCAAAATAGCACTCTGAAACCCCCATATTCATCACTGTGATATAATTATATGTTTTGTACAATGCATGCCTTGTGAGGCATCATTTTAAAAGTCATTTTCAAATCATTTGATTTGCTAAACATTAATATCCTGTTGGACTGTATGTACTATCATTGTATGTGAAGTTATGAAGTGTCGCTATATGTGGTACTGAGATGTCTGTGTACTGTGGATGTCTATGTAAGTGCAGTCCCTGTCAGAGGCTTGTAGCTTGACATTAGCATCATAGTGTGAGAGACAGCCCAGACTGGTGGGTTTGGAGGGCTCCGAAGACCCATCACAATGTTGATTTATTAAGAACCGTCATTGGTTATGCATTTCCCAGACTCTTTTACATGAGTTCCAATGCCCAACCCATGCACATACCCTACAAAAGGGGCAGGAAATATATTTTTAAAAGGCTAAAGCTAGCCATATAATACTATAAATGTCTGACTTCAGCAAGGAATAGGCACAATTATTTTTAAACAAGTTAATCATTTTACATTTTAATTACTTATTAGATTTAAGTTTCACACATGTCAAAGAGGATTCAACTTCAAATGCCATTGTAGACGGTGTTCATGTGCTGAATATTCTGCAGGAAGTATACACACTGAAAAAAATCCCCCATAAAGTGGATCTGTACGCTGGAAACAGACTCTAAAAACACTATGGCAGAGTTTTTTGTTTATCATCTGTCACAGATTTCTATGCAAATATGCTCCATTTACAAGTAAAAACTATTTTTCCTCTCAATTACCAGCTCTAAGAATCAGTCAAGCAGGCACCCAAGATAAGTTTTTGTTTGTTTTTTCTAATCACCAGCAATACAGCACTTGAAGTCAATGGGATCACTCATGTTCATGTACTTTGCTGGATCAGAGCTAGAGTACTCCGCATCGTGCAGGAATGAACCTTAATTAGTAAACCAATATTAAGAATTATATTTTGTTTAGAATTTAATTTCACAGCAGTGCTCTCAACTTTCCCTTGAGGTTGTTTTCAAATCTCATTAACATCAATAAGAAATAACTTAGTGTGTTAATAGCAGAGATCAATGCAAGGGAGGAAGAAGATGGTTCGGTAGCTCTATGTAGAAATATGGTGGTAGATAAAAATAAAATCACCTCCCACTTCACAAGAAAAAAAAATATCAAGATTAATTTTCTTCCCCTCCTGCATCTTAAATCTTTTGCTATAATTAGTGGTCTTTATAGAAGCTGTGAGAAGGGATAATTGTTTACTCAACTTGCACACTGAGAAACAGGAAAAATAAAGAGTGGCAATCACATGCAACTGACTGGAATTTTTATTACAGATCTCACAAAGCTTCTAGAGTCATAAAAACACTGCAAAAAATAATAATAATAATGCAAGATCCTGAAAGCCTGCACCATGAATCACAGGGGACCCTGTACTTAGATGGCAGTGTTTACCTTTAATAATGGAACTAAAACAGTGTGAAACCACAAAGTATGAAACAAATGATATCTGGCCTATAGAGGAAATGCGATATGTACAACTAGCATACAGCCTGAAACAGCATATTCGCTCAAAAGTGCAATTTTGAAGACAACAGTAACTTTTCATTAAATCTGTTTAATGTAGGACATTCGATCTACAGTCTGTAATTCTAGTTTCTACCGTTCTTTGTTCATGAATATCCCTAAACAAACTATGTAACCCTGTCCTCCTCACTGAATTTATTGCTAACACAGAAACTTTCCAGTGATTTCAATGGCCTTTGGATCAGGTCTACAATTCTGAGAGCCAAACTGTAGCCTCCCATGGTAAAGTCAAGAGGACTCTTAAAATTTCATGAGATTCAGTATGTGGTGTTTGCCGTGAAGGCTCCCCTCTGGAGGAAAACATTACAGGACCTCCAGAACCAGAGGATCTGAGGAGCAAAAAGGTCTAAATCCACAGATCTTGGGGTCTCCTTGAGCTTTGTTCGTCCATTCTGCTCCCCAAAACACGCTTCCCCCCGTTTTCAGAAACTACATTGTACTGTCAGTCAATGCAGTGGAACCCACTGCCTTTGGGAAAAAGACTAATGGCCTAAGGATAATAGACCATATAGGAAGGCCTAATTTTCCTAACCAGAGTCTTGCTAAGAGAATAAGTCTACTTTGACTTGTTTTGGGAACTTGGACTTCTACTGATAGGTTCACAGACTGTTTAGAGATAATGTGTCCTGGACTACAAAAAAAACATTATCCAGAAAAGAAAAATTCCTGACATGTGTGAGGGTTTTGGAGGAAAACCATGGAAAGTTCCAGGAGTCCATCACGTGACCAGTGGTAACCGATGGATGACAGAGAGATAATACAAAGACTCCAAGAGTGGGGGCTTCCTCCCCTCTCATTTGATGGTGTCTGCCCCTTTTCTTTTGGTTTTCTTATTTTCCACTCAAAGTTGCAGGGTGATAGCCAACTAACACAAGTAACATTCCGTACAAGACAGTGTTTTTTTCAGTTATTGTTGTTAGGGTTCCCAACTTTCTAATCACAGAAAACCGAACACCCCTGCCCCGCCTCTTCCCTAAGGCCCAACCCCTCCTCCAAGGCCCCATCCCCGCTCACTCCATCCCCCCTCTCTCCGTCGTTCACTCTTCCCAACCCTCACTCACTTTCACCGGGCTGGGGCAGGAGTTCTGGGGGCGAGGGTTCTAGCTGGGGGTGAGGGCTCTTTGGTGGGGCCAGGGATGAGGGGTTTGGGATGCATGAGAGGGCTCTGGGCTGGGGCGGGGGTTGGGTGAGGGAGGGGGCAAGGGCTCCGGGCTGGGGCCAAGGGGTTTGGAGTGCAGGAGGGAGCTCAGGGATGGGGAAGGGGTGTGGGAAGGTTTGCGGGCTCTGGGGTAGGGCCGAGGATGAGGGGTTTGGGGTATACGAGTGGGATCTGGGAGGGACTTTGGAGTGCAGGAGGGAGCTCAGGGCTGGAGTGGGGGGTTGGGGAGGGGGATGCGGACTCTGGGAGGGAGTTTGGGTGCACATAGCGGCTCGGGGCTGGGGCAGGGGCTTGGGGACCAGACGGCGCTTATCTTAGGGTGCTCCAGGAAACGTCCAGCATGTCCGGCTCCTAGACGGAGGGGCCAGGGGGCTCTGCGCACTGTCCAGAAACCACGGCCAATGGGAGCTGCAGAGCTAGCGCTCAGGGAGGGGGCAGCGTGTGGAACTTCCCTGGCTGCCCCTGCACTGAGAAGCAGACATGCCGGCCACTTCCGGGATTCACAGGGAGCTTGCCTTAGCCCCGCTGCGCTGCCAACCGGACTTTTAGTGGCCTGTTCAGCAATGCTGACCAGAGCAGGTAACGTCTCTTTTCGACCAAGCATTCTGGTCAAAAAACGGATACCTGGCAACCCTAGTTGTTGATGGATGTTATCTCATTGTTTTCCCATCTTTTTCCCCCCTAGCCTTTCAATAGCTACTACACCTATTTAATCTTACTTCTGTTATTTCAGAAAGACTAACTTTCTGTTGAAACAACCTAATTGTCTTAATATACAGTACTAGTGTCAGTTTCTTTTTAACAGTGTTTTTACAAGTTTTCATAGTGAAGCAGTTTATGATAATAGTTTATACAGTTTAATATTTTCAGAACTTCACACTACATTTTTAGGCACATATGAAGGGACATTTAAGTTAAGCCATGTTCACTTAGATGTGCTGTCAATTACACATGAGGCTTTTCAGAAAAACATGCATGAGTCCAATTTTACAATAAAAAATTGTTTTTAAAACACCGAAGTCTCACTTTTGTGTCATACTGAAAAGTGTATTCTGCCAAATTATCTTTATTGTGCT